AAAAATTCAGAAAATTCATTTTTGTGGAACGGAGTATTATTTTCCCACCGCTCGACCTTTTATTTGTAAAACGTGTCGAGATGAGTACGACGGCCACTTATTGTAGTTTCAATAAAAACATTTTTCGGTAATGCATGTAGTTTTGAATGTCAGTACATAAGAAACTGACATAAATATACAACTATATATCCCCTAAAAAGAAAAAAGAATCTTGGTTTAATCATGATATCTCTTTATGTAATTCTATGGGGTGCTGATTGTTGAATGGTCTTATTAAAACGTCGCCATAACATAATTTTATGGAGAACAACATTTTATACTACAATATATTTCAGAAAATGAAAAATGATCGTTGACCCCGATTAATTGTAAATGTGAAAGATGAGAGAGCAGAGTTGACCTTTGGGATCAATTGAATGTAAACTTGTCCACATTAGCCGACCAATAAAGTTCATAATCAAATTAATTAGTGCTTAACCGAACCAGATTTATGTGTTGAACAGGTTTTGAGGTCAAGTCATGAGGTTCGTGGTTCGAAGCTCGAGCTAGGATTACAAATAGAAATTATTTCAGGAGGTTTTTTTGGCTCTCTCTCAATCTTTTTTTGTTTCAGTTAAACAATATGGACACAACATATACGCAATAATCTTCTCGAATACAAACAACGACTGATTTAAGTTTGACTATAAATATAATTCTTGTGAAAAGAAAACAGTATTAACAATTATTTGATTTGTTAAAGCCTCTCATTAACGGTAAGGATGCTCTCATATCCCTAACCATGAGACTCACAAAAAGTTTTAAACTATTTTTTATTATTAAAGTTAATGTTTGAGTCACATGAGACGTCTCTCAACCTGAGGAGTGCATTTTTTTTCTTTCTATTTTCTTTTAATTACAAGAGATTTTTTATCAATGATATTTTGTGGATTTCTTTAAATATAAAATTATTAAAATTTGACTAAAAGGAAGAAAAAGAGTATTTTTGGTTGAAATAATGTGATGTATTGAAATATAAAATTATTAAAATTTGAGTAAAAAGAGGAGATAGTTGATATTTTTGGAATGAGAGTATCAATAGAATGAGATTTTGGAGAAAGTTTTATGATGTGTTTAAATATAAAAATAATAAAGTTGAGTAAAATGATGAAAGAGAAGGTATAAAGTTGAGTAAAAAGAAGAGAGAGTGTGTTTTTAATAATTTTATATTTAAAGAAACCCACAAAAATTCATCGATAAGGATGGCCTGATGCTCTTAATTCATTCTTCAAAAACAGTTCTCCCTCGTAGTTGCTTAGCAATCACGCTACCTCTCTTAACCATAAACCAACCAAGAAACAAAACAATAACGCGTCTTGGAAACAGAAGACAATAAAATACAAAAGAGCCACTACAAACAGAAGAAGAATTTGCGAGGGCGGGTTGTGAAGTAGATGGTTGTTAAGATTAGGAGAATTGCAAAGAGAGTGGACGAGAAGAAATGGAAATTGAGTAGGTGGTTGAATAA